GGGGGACGGGGGGTGGGGGGCGTTAGAGGGTTAAGGGACACACGATGAAATAAATAAAAAAAAAAAAAGAAGTTTCGTGGAATTCCAAAACATTTTTATACATTGTTTTTTTTAAAAAAATCTTGAAATAAATAATGATCTTATTTTTATTTTATTTTTATCGGTGCTTTGTTTGTGTAGGCCGTTGTTCATTAAGATGGCTTGTCATAATTAGGGACACGCGGTTCGCTAAACGTACACTCACCTGTGAATTAACTCATTAGAAATCTTGCTGATAAAAGACATGTCATGTCCACCAACGCCACAGAGAGTGATCCGCTGCGTCCCCTATGATACTTCCCTCTGTGATAATGTACATATTCATTATTCAACAAGGCCTGTCAGATTAACAGGGTACTGGGCAGATTAGCTGGTTAGCCGCCTGGTGGTCCTGTCCTTTTATCCAGTGACTGACTAAGCACATCGTAGTGACAGTGATCCCTGGTGGCGTGTTGTGAAAGAGCAGATTTACTTCTGATCTGGTCCCGAGTTGCTGTCGGGACTGGATTGAGTTTGCTTTATATAAATGTTTGTATTAAAGGTTGGTGTGTACTGTTTGTACACAGTATTACTACAGTACCTTATAAGAAGGCAGTCCGTGGCATTGTGTTTGTAGAGCTCGGTTATGCTTGGAGGGTTGCTGGTTCAAATTCAATGACCGGCAGTGCTGTGTTGTGTTGACCAAACATCGAAAACGAAAAGGTAAAAAAAAAACTTGATTTCACATGTTTTTACAGACAAATCGAACTCCTTTGATAAAACCCAGTTGAAGAACTGATTATGCCAAGATGTCCCATAAAGGCCCCCAAAAAACCAGAAAGGTCGTTCTTGGGAAAGTTATTAGTAATAACTTAAGATATCAAGCCTTAAGGAACCATCAAACAAAGGAAGAATAAATATGTATTAATTGGTGGTGAAAGAAGGTCCTCGTCAAACAATTTAGTCTGAAACTGTTGAATTTGTACAACTTTTACAGTAGGTCATACGTTATGCTAATGAGACAAAATGCTTGGCTTTAGGAAAGTATTGTCACTGGACATTCAAGACTTGGTGTGTTTTTAATAGACCTCAGTTTCGACCCAAACTCATTTACTTTAGATTCAAATACAATGGAAACATTGTGATTGAATTCACACAGGTGAACTCCCCTTGGGTGAGGTTAAGTGTTTTTTTTTTACAGCGTCTTGTTGCCTTTCCCCAGTAAATCCATGGATTTCTCTATAGGACATTACCTTGGATTCATTCTGCACACGTTTCAAAGGCTTGGCTTTGTAGATATGGATACACACATAGCTGTAAGAGAACGTTCTCTGTACCTCGCGGACACAGACTTCTATATGTCCTGGTGAGCTTTAACTTTCAAAGCCACCTTTATGCTGTGGCCCCTGAGTCTACATGATAAGCAGCGTATCTTTTCCCTGCAACACTGTGGTTGACAGAGACATCAGGACCTGTAGATGGCTCCTCCGTATAGGGCCGCGTCCCACAAATTCCCACGCCGTTCCCATCGGGGGTTAAAAGCATGTATCTGTGTTTTTGAAAATTGTGCAAAAACAGTGTGTTTTTGTAAGTTAAGCAGGCTGTTTTATTTGACGCAGAGCTCAAGTTTTCATGGTCTTAGCAGCATTTGTCTTTCATTTGAAGGTGACATCACTCCCGGTACGCGCGGCGTGATTGGGGCTTTTTCTGCGACTGTTTGACTCCGTGTTCTGCGAGTGTTCTCTGAGCGAAGTCAAGGAACTGAATGTACACATGTTGCACACATGCTGACAATTATACGTCAGTTTCCACAGGGAGACCAGCGGGCAGGACGGAAAGTATATGTGAACCTACGTCTACAATCAGCGGGTACGGTCGTGATTCCGACTACAGTAAACATGTTGGCAAAAACTAATCAGTGAATCTTTCATCTTCTGGCGCAGCAGGCAATTCATTTATCAACCTGGCACGGTACTGTACACTGTAATGCTGAGGTCTAGAGATGGTCCGCTCGGATTATATGACCTGGCTGTGCATGTGTGAGAAAGGGAGGGTGAAGGGATTTAAAAGGTACACCAACATGTCTACCCTCGTAAATAATTAACCGCAGCTATTTTACGGCGTCACGTGCGACATCATTCTTCTCGGAGCAGATGAGGCAAGATCTTCATCAACTTCTTCGCTCTCAACAAACACAAAGGTTAGAATCATTAATTGGTGGAGTGGATTCCATTGGACGGCCCTTTATTACTGTTTTACAAGCGCGTTGCCTCATTCTCAAATTACCATCTGGGCTGGACGTGTTGCTAGCTTAGCCGTCCGCTACGGGACAAGTACAACATTCTTCTGTTCCATATGTCGGGGCCCCCTGAGTGTTTACAATCGTCTCCTGTTGTTAAAAATCATAACTTTCGGTTGACTGCGAGATGCTGTGTCCGTGTCCTGAATGAAGAGGAAAATCACTTAGAAAAACAGCACAGAGGAGTCGTAAAAGAAGCTCACAGGATAAAGAAATAATGACCATTGTTCGAAAAAAACAAAAAAACAAAACAGGATAGCCCTACTCTAATAATTTCCTCCTGTATTTGTCCTGGGAGATCATAAAATCTTCCTGGAA